CACAGTCAGGTCCTGAGCAGTGAGATTCAGAACCAGAGAGCCCGAGAGCCAGAGCTTGAGAGCATTTGCAGCAGAGTCTTACTAAATCCTATCAGCAACAGCACAACTGGGAAATCCAACCGACCCACCAATTTACTAACGAATGAGCAAGTAAAGGAATTAGCAAAGGACTTAAGGAGCTAACGGAAGAGTTGGCGAAAGAGCAAAAAGAGTTATGGCCCCCGAGTCCCCCTGCCCACTTATGTACTGAGCGTGACATGCTACACTCCTTCAGTCAGTTTGAGTTAGCTGTCTGAACTGTGTGTTCCCCCACACTGCTTGTAGTGAGAAAGCTGGGAACACAGCTGCAGTATCAGGAGCTGAGAAAGACTTTGAATTTGGTACAAGCACTCCCCAGCACCAGCTAAAAAGACACCTTATCCGTACTTTTGTACTGTGAAGAAAGTGCACTCTTTTTGTGCACTGTGAAGAAAGTTAACTCTTTCCTAACTAAAATCAGCACAATGTGAAATTTATTACTTTGAGTCATAATCAGATTAGAGGAATATTATATTTGGTGTACTGAATTCCAGGGGAATAACTTTCTTCTCTACTGTTTGTGTTTAAAACCTGAGTTAAGGCAAGTTAACATTCAACAAGGCAAAATAAAACAATTCTGTTCAAATGTATGGCTTCAAAAAGTTCTGCTGAAGTAAAAGTTGAACTTTTTACTCATGCTTTGCCAGTAACATGTAGGGGACAGTTTGGAAAAATTAATGGTGCATGCATAAACTCGGATCTCTAGCATGAACAATCACTTATGTCTTGGAATGGCTGTGTATAATACTCTTTCATCAAGAAAAACAGTGCAGATACTTTGCAGAAGTCTGCAGAAAGTGCCTTATGGGGAAGGTTTGAAAAATAATGAAATCACAGCTAAACACTATTATATTTCTACCATTGATTATTCCAAATTTTCTTTTTCTGATATGTGAAATTTGTAGTATTATTGGAAGTAGACTTTCAGTTTTTTAGTATATATCATGTATTCTGAAAATAAAAACTTTTAAAAAACAACAAGTGCAAATCAACATTTAGAGTCTAATAATATTAATTTGGTTTGCTGAAAATGTTTGCATTAAATTATTTGATGAGAGCTAACATCTGAATGACAGTGAAAGTTGAAAATATCTCTTACGGTATGTATATATTGTGAATAGTTGAATGTATGTCAAGAAGAGGAAATGTATTGCATACTGTTGATGGTTAAAAACTGCCTGGAAACTAAAAATTTTCAGTCCTTTAAGGGAAGTGCAGGCAAGGAATGCCTTGTTCCAAACTTAATACTGTATTTTGTTTGAATAAATATTTCTGCAATTTTTTTTTTTTTCCGTACAAAGAAAAGTAATGTAACCCTATATTTCTTAATAATAAATGTGTAAATCTTTATGAATTGATTAATTTCCTGGATTTTCAGCAGCATACTGAAGGGATATCAAATAGGAATAATGCTTTCATTTGTTTCAAGAAGTGAAAATTATTATGCAATATTTTGTGAATGTAGACAGGGTTCATAAGGCATACAGACTTTCGCATTAAATGACAATTCCAGTAATTACTGAACTAACCTTATTATAGTGTTGTCAACTTATCTTGTTTGATTCGTAGGTTTCCCTTAAACTACGTTTCTTCACACGTGTAAAATGTCAGTTAGATAAAATTTCATATTTTACTGATATTTTTATTTCATATGTCTAGGTTTTAGGTTTAGGTCATGTTCCCACCACAATTAATGCCTCCTTCCTCTCTAAAGTAATTTCTTTGCTTGTCTAAGATTCTGAAAGTATATTTTACTAATAGTAATTAGAAACACTTTGACATTCTTACACTGGAAGTGTTAGGAAAAACTATTCTCATCTTTGAGATCTCACAAAACTTAAAGGCATGAAAAATTCTCTGGGTGAGAAGTGTTTTTGTGTGGTAAAACATCAAAATATAGTACATGCAGAATGAAGATATCTTTTGAAATCAATGAAATCACTAAATTATTCCTGTCTCTGCAGAAAGTGCACAGAGATTTATCTGTATAGTTAAAAATGCTCTCTGGAGACAAATACATCATCACCTTCCTCAGGACAAATCTGTAATCTGTAGCAGTCATTTCCTGATAAGTGAGATGCAGCCAACCATATCAGCAGAGAGCCAACTCTCAAGTTCTGAACATAATACTCTTCTTTGGGTTTTTCTACCTCACTAAGTAATGTGGCACAATAGAAACACATTTCTAGATTAAAACATTTGGTGCTGAGGGCTGAATGACCACACTGTGTGTATTTTGGGGTTTTTCTTTAAGATTGTTTGTAGTCTGATCCTTTGGGCTGAAAGACCACCACCAGTTGGATGCCATCTTAGTTTCAGCCAAAAGGAAGTCTCTTTGGTCCTGAACAGCTTTGGCGCATGAACAGAGCAGTGAGGATCACTGGGAATTTCCCTAAAAAAAAAGCTCTCCTAGTCAAAGTGTAAATCACAGAATGGTTGAGGTGGTTGGAAGGCACCTAGAGCCAGTTGCCCAGGACCATGTGCAGACAGCTTTTGAGTATCTCCACCAACTCGCTGTGCAACTAGTGCTGATGCTTGGTCACCCTCACAGGAAAAAAGTGTTTCCTGATTTTCAGAGGGAGCCTTCTATGTTTCAGCTTGTGCCCATTGCCTCTGGTCCTGTCACTGGGTACCACTTGAGAGGAGCCTGTCTCCATCTTCTTTGCACCTTCCCTTCAGATATTTATGCACATTGGTGAGGTGCTCCCTGAGACTTCTTTTCTGCAGGCTGAACAGTCTTTCCTCGCAGGAGAGATGCTCCAATCACTTCATGATTTTAGTGGCCCTTCGTTGTACTCTCACCAGAAAGTTTATGGCTCTTCTGAACTGGGGGAGCCCAGAACTCCATGTGTGGCCTCACCAGTGTTGAGTAGAGGAGAAGGGTCACCCCACTCGAGCTGCTGGCAGCACTCCTCCTAAAGCAGCCAAAGATAACGTTATTCTTCTTTGCTAAATGTAGATTAATCTGCTGACTTCCCATTCACTTACTTTTGCCCTTCCTGCATCCGTACTGTTACAGTTCTTGCATCTCACACATTTTCAGCATGGCATTGCTGCCTTCCTCCCGCTTGACAAGGCCAAGCACGGGACAGAGCTGACTGACAGATCTGCTCCAAGGGTTCTCCAGCAGCTGCAGTCAGGTGCCCAGTCTATTCAAACTGCATCAATCTTACTACCCACATACAAATGGGCACTTGTCACAAGACCTTATATTGTCATGTGTCACTTGAGCAGATGCGCTTTCCCATCATTTGTCTGTGAGCATGAGAATTTTGTCAGGGTTTCCAGAACCTTTGAGAGCTCTGCAAAAGCTGGATGGATTTTATGGGTTTATGTAATTGGTAGGAACCTGTAATTTGTTTGGAAATAGCAGTTGATAGCCTGTAACTTTACTGGTTTAATTCTTCTAGCCTGGATAACAAAAACCCTAGTGACGATACTTTCATGCTAGACGATTTCTTACTCTGTGGGGGGAGGGAGGGAAAGATTTGGTAGGACCAAAGGGATGAAGGCATTTGTGATGGATATATGCGGTGAAAACAAGCAAAATGATTCATAATAAACCTCATCAATACATCATTTTAAAATAAGTAAATGTTTTAGAAACATAATGTACTATATATATTGCATTAATTAAGTGGTGGTTATTTCTAGTAAATTTGCTTTCCTTTTATCAGTACAGCACTGTGTGTTACTGTTAATTGGTTTTTTTCCACTGTCAAATGATTGCTACATGCAAAAGTAGTTATGTGCCAAATCAACCTGACAACGCTTAGTAGAAAGGCAGATATCTATCTTCTTGTGCTTGATTGATTTGTCAGTGTTGCCAGAAAACCTAGTTTTAGATCAGATATGAATCAGGTTATATTTAAGAACAACAGGAAATTTCAGTCCTCCTTTCTAAAAACTTTGAGTTTGAGAATCATTAATTTGAAATATGGCATTTATAATTTTATTTCCTTTTTTTTTTAGTGTAAGTAGCTTTTTTATCTATGCTCCTGACTGTTAATGAAACATGGGATTTAAAGGTGTTTAAAAAAGCCTATTCCTTTTATCAAAATTATATAGGATTCTATAATCTCTTTTGAGTTAGTTTATATAAACTAAAGTACAAGGTATTTAATTTGTTCTTTACTTCTAATGCGTCATATGCTCAATGTCTTTATTTTAACATATTGATAGCTGTTTAATCTGATACATTTTTTTCCAGATAGTTACCTCTGAAACTTCTTAACACACAGAAAGGAGAGACATAAAAATAAAATAAGAAATATTATGGTGACACATTGATGAGTAAATAAAAAAATTGTATCATTGTTGAGTAGCATTAAATTACTGGAAAGTTAAAACAAAGTTTAATGCTTTCTATATTCCCTTTCAAATCCAGTGCATTTTGTATACATTTTCTGGCAAGGTTTTTGTCTAAAATATTTCCTTTGTAAAACTTTTGTTTCCTTTTTTTTTTTTTTCCAGAGTACATTCAAATTTAAATCTGAGAGTGACATTCATCTGGCTGAGCACCATAAACAAGTGCTCTATGATGGGAAACTTGCAAGTAGCATTGCTTTTACTTATAATGCGAAGGCTACAGATGCTCAGCTATGCCTTGAGTCCTCACCAAAGGAAAATCCTTCAATTTTTGTGCACTCCCCCCATGCTCTTATGCTTCAGGTTTGTGATAGATGTTCTCCAATTACCCTTAGCTCAACATTATATGGATAATAAGAGGATTTGTGTGCTAGTGTACAAAAAGATGGCTAGTTTGTTTTATTTCGGCTCTTAATATACCTATCACTTCAACTGTTCTTTCTTTGCTCACTTTCTAGAGCAAAAAATTATTATTTCTTTGTTAAGAAATATATACTTCATAGCATAAGGCACAGTCTGCCATGATACTGAAATTTTTCTGTTTAATGTTTGCTTTCAATTAGAGTGACTGTAACTGAAACATAAATTATGAAAATAAGTTAAGAAAAGTCTGATTTAGTTTGCACTCAATTCCGTGTTAGTGTTCCCAAGTTATGTTCGTAGCTATCCTTTAAAATTGAAATTAACTGAGGTTTTTTCCTTTTATTTATGTATTTTATCAATTTAGGATGTGAAAGCTATTGTAACCCACTCCATTCACAGCGCAATTCATTCCATTGGAGGGATTCAAGTTCTTTTTCCTCTGTTTGCCCAGTTAGACAATCGACAGCTGCATGACAGTCAGGTGGAAACAACAGTTTGGTAAGCTTCTTTCAAGCAAGATAAAAACTAGATTAAGCTAAGAATTTTTCCGGTTTTGTTGTGAGAACATTTGATTGGTTTTCTTTTGTAAATGCTGTGACTTACATTTTACCCTTGTTTCTCTGAAAATAATATTTTTGAAAAATAGTTTACTCTAGAAATTTGTAAATTGCACTAATCTGATGATTCCAAATGGAACTAGCATAAAAATGATTGGTTTAAATAATGAATCCACATCACTCTAGAGTCTTTAAGGATAGTTTTGTGAGAATTTTTAATATTTCTTAAAGAAACCAATGTACTTTTACCTGACAGTGTAGTGTTGTGAACTTTCTCAAAGTCTGTGTCATTTTAATTCACACATAATAACATTCAAAACTGAGGAAAGATATCTTCTATATGAATACATGATCAAAAAGTCATAAAGCTATGATCAATTATTTTGAGGCCATATTATCATTGCAGCAGTGACTGGGGACACACCAAGAGAGTTGAAAACACGTGAAGTCTGCTCTGATTCTACAGAAGTAACCCCTTAGGTTGAAAATCTTGCACAGGTGTTAGATGAATGCTTCTGTGTGTAGCCTGCAAATGACTGCTTAGGAGTCTGTCAGTACCCACGCTGCCTTGTTCAAAGCTAGCTCAGCCATAGTTATTTTTGCAAAGAAGATCTCTTGCCACCTGCTCATCAAGGCAGGCTCTTATGCTAGTGGAAACACAGGGTATCTAAACTTGTCAGAACAAAGTATGTGGCCTAAACCTTTGGAGGTAACCAAACTGAAAAGGTAATGCTGAAGAACTGGTCCTGTATTTCACAGTAGGGTGGCATGTAACCAAACCTTGCTCGAAAACAGTATTTAGTGTAAGTGGACTCTTGTATTTGAATATATTTACAAAACAGATTCATAATACAGAGTACTTGTCTTTTATTTTACTGCTTAAAATACTCTGTTATTAATTTTTCTGTGTATTTTTTACTGCATTAGATAGTTCAGTAATAAATTAGTTAACTGAAAAATAATTAAATAATACTAAAATTGACAGTGATTTTGAAAAATTTAACTGACAGTGATACACTGGTATAACTTTTCATGAAAGATCACTTGTCTCAATCAAATTTAAGAAATCAATCAATTTTTTGAAGTTTTGTCAGTCTTCTGTTTTCCCCTTTGGTAACTCAAATATATGTAACTAAGATGGCTGCTGATTTTTATTTGTTTCTGTAGTGTCACAGATTAATGTATTTCATGAGAATATTTTAATACAATCTTTGAAGTAATGCTCCAGTCTTAAAAACAATGAATTCTACTTTCAAGAACTATACTGGTGCAAATTATTTCATTCAGTGTTAAAGACAGAAAAGCTGGTTGTTGTGTTGGTTCATCTGGGATGTTTACTTTTTTGTAGTCTATTTTCCAGTATGTACTTTCCATTGAAGTATTGTGAAGTAAGAGGAATAGAAAAAACAACACTTGGTTTGAAACAAAATTGGAAAAAAAAATACCTGTATGTTTTAATTTTCTGGCACAGCAGTAGGCAAAAATGCTTTATTCCAATTTATGGAAGATTATGTGTGTATGTGCCTATACATATGAATAAAATATATGTTAAATTCTTTAGGTAGCTGAATCTGTAATAAATGATAAAGCAATAACTAGGTCTGTTTAGTTTTAGAAGTCAAGATAAAGGCTGATTCTTCCCAAGTGTGTGGTCTTTCCAGTTAGAGTAAACATTCATAAAGTTCAATTTAAAATGTACAGAACATTTCTGGAGTTAGTTGAACTGTAAGTAGGAAAAAAGTTGTTCTTGAATAAATCAATGCATTTCATCTATAATTAGATTGTATTCTAAAAGGAGATCTGTAACTCATTGTGCTCTGTGATTGTACGAATGTAGAACAGAACAAGATGTGATCCTAACTCAGAAATATATTCAAAAGACTTTTAAGTAAATGGCTGCTTGATGAGATGTAACTTAAATTTTAACTTACCATGGTTTTGATGTATGTGTGTGTGTTATTTTCTTACATTTAATTTAATAGGATGTAAATATTGAGAAAAACAATAGTTTAAGTGACCCAAGGAAATAGGCAAATAAAGGAATAAAGATTGCTGAAGGCAAAGAAGAGATAATGGTGAAAGGGGGCTAAACATGAGTAACAGGGCTAAGTTTAAGATTCATTTATGGAGTAGAATAAGTGAAGAAGTATACATACGGAGTCCTTTCCTTCTTTACCCTTGTTTTTTGGTCTGTTCTCTATTTGATTCTTTCTAAAATGCAGTTGTTGAACTGTGTAAGATACTTGCTTATACCATCTTACCTATGAAAATCTATCTACAACAGCAGCAGAGGGCTGCACCGCCTCTTCCTGAAAAGTGGTTGTCATTCAGCTACTACAACCCATCTATTTTTATAAGCAGATAAGCTTTATGTCCCTTTGCCAGATGATGCTAATGGCAGTTGACCATTATGCTTGCAAAGAGTTGTTATGTTACTGTGGCTGTAGAACTTGCTTCTTCCTGCTGGCTAAGTGGAGGGACACAGACATTGTCCTTTAAATAGCTGTGCTGCCTTTTGTCTTAATGCGTTCCTGGGTGGAGGGAAGTGTAAGTAGCTTGATAGCCCTGTGTAAGTGTCCTAGATTTCCAGACTACTTTTCTGAATCCTTCTCACCTCCTTTTCTCCTGCATATATCAAAATCTGTTTAGTAAGTTCAAGGTTCTCAAATATTTAAATGGCATTTTTTTAACATTAGAATGGGCTGTTAACAGGACTATGAGTGAACATCATTTTGATCTACTTACAAATATAATCTTTTCTAAATTAATAGATTCATTGTAAATAAAACTATAAATTATAAAGCATGGCAGTGTGAATATAGCAACTTGGTGGTTTAATGGTATTCTTTGTAAATGTTCATTATTCCTGTAATGTGTATATCCCTGTGTGTCTTACCTACATCCTTCATGAGACCAAGTATTGAAATAACCTACAATTCTGCTTTTGAGCACAATACAGATTGTTATTCTCTCGTACGCTGAAATTAAAAGAATGGAAACTGAGTTCATTATATCTTAAGTAAGTTTTCTTAGATTAAGTGCTGCACCTATTATTCGGGAGAGGGGTCCCTCAACTTGACTGCCAAGACTGCTACTTTTCATCCTGCCTTTCAATACTCTGATTAGAATAGAAAATACAGCAGTTTAGAAAAATAAGGTGTTTATGTAATAAAAAAGAAATAGAGTGCTTTTTTCTGTTGTTGATACCTCTGATTCTACTATATGGGTAATATGATAGCGAGGACTTGCTTTGTTCACTTATGGTCTCTCATGCATGGTTTTGAATTCATTTGGGTCTGCTGATGACTGACACGCAGACAGATTCTGACAAGGTATTGGGCTTTTTGGCACTGACCCAGTTCCATCACAGAATAAATTACAAGTGTTAATTAAGATGAGATTGTTGCTTTGGACTGGATGATAGTGGGCAAATATTCGAAAGTAGAAGGAGCTGTAGCTGTTTCCTTAAATAGATGAAGTCATTCCAAGAATTATTTTATATACTTATTCTAGAAGTTGCTAACTGGCTTTCCTAGATGACATACACTAAAAACTAAAAATACTTTTACTGCTTATCATACTGATTAAATGCATTGCCTAGACCCACCTTAACTTTCTTAAAGGTGATATATACACCCACCTAAAATTTGTAGCAAAGTAAATGTAGGCATCTTTTCAGTTTTATTACTGACAGTACTTTTACTCTTTAATATAGGTATCTCTGCTACAGGGTATATTTCCCACCTATTGTAAGTCCATGAAATGGTAACATTGGTGAGGGGGGCAGCAGCTGTATTTCAAATCCTGTTATTCATCTTTTTTCTGTAAATGTTTAGTGTGTTTTGCTTTGACAATTAATATCTTGTACTCTTTTTTTAGTATTTTTTTATATTCAGTTGATGAGGTTTTGTGTCCCTGTCTGTAATCAGTAGTGTTGCTACATCTACTTTTTGCTTGATGAGTAGTTTGATAGGAAATAAGGAGTCTTGCCATCAGCTTCCACATATATGAAACAGCACAGCTTGATAGGTAATACAATTCGATGTCTTGAGATTTTTATTTTATTTTATGCTATTTTATTTTATTTTATGAAAATTTTGTGAGTTTCCAATAATTCTTAACAATGTCATTAGTTTTATAGAATTTAAGATCATGGTAGCAAATAAGATGAATACCAAGTAGTATCCTACCTACCTAAGCTGTCCTGTCGTACTGTCTTGTCTTTCAAGAATTTCCTCATTTGCAACAGCTGGCCCAGGTATATAAACCTGAGAGTAAATATAAAAGTCATCCTTTCCGAGGTCATTACATTTACCTTTGTGCCTCTGATGGAGCACCAAGTCCCAGTAGATAGCTGCCTCCAGTCCAGTCTACAATTTAGAGTTTGCAGAGTCGGGTGCTGATAACCATCTCCTCATGGGTTTTGAAGGGAAGGAGGCTAGATATCACACCTGAAATTTCACATCTCTAGTATAACCTGTGTTCAGATTAAATGAGTTGTAGTGGAATCTGCCCAAACTGTGACAGCAGGAAAACAAATCAGAGTGCCTGGATGATAGTTTATAATTAAAATATAATCACTGTATCTTGTGGCAGAAATCCTTTGTACTCACCCAAACTGCAGTACCTCCACAGCGTCCAGAAGATACAGGAGCTATTAAGGGTGACTAACTTATGACTGGCGTCTGTATAACAAAATGTTATGCCTGTAAGCAGTGGCGTGTAATGACTTGCCTCTAATTCTCCCACACACCTACTTATCTGACTCATGTTCAATGGCATGAGTTGAGATGAAATATGTTTAGTAGTCTTCCCTTATTGTCATCATCATATGTTAGGAGAAAAAGAAGTGGAAAAGGGAAAAGAAAGAAGTAGTTTCCACTTTCTCTCCAACAAGCTTGGAGAAAGAGAAAACCTAGTAAAACTGGAAGCTAAGGAAGC